CCCTTCAAAAGTATGGTCCAATTTGCTATAACAGCGAAAAATTCCTACCTCATCACTAATGGCGTCAGGCATACCTGATATTTCCAGATATAAATTACCTTTTGTACAATAGAAAGCAATTTTTTTATTAGCAATATACTGTATATGCTTGAACTATTACAGTGTCGTATAAACTACTTCTCATTTTCTCACTCTTACAGTAAAGAACCCTTTCTGCAGATTTTGCTAAAACCTCTTTTCTACATCTCACAAGGGGTGTCCTTGAACCTTTAGTATTTGTTATGAAAGGGACAGCTTATACCCCTTTTTACTGCCATTTTAATATAATGCAATTTCCCGTTGAGCTTGCCGTTCTTTTCTCATCAAATAAAACACTGACTTAAGGGCACACAGAGCATACATACCCAGTCTTTCCATTAAATATGTGTTTGCATACGTTGTTCTTTAACAAACACTACTTTAACAGCAAAGAATATATTTACAGATGCTAACTATTGAATCTACTAAGATGACCAAGAACTATTTTTGAAGCAGATGTATTGCTTTGTTACTTTTGATTGTCTACAGGTCCAGTAGGTTCTCCGATAAAGCCTCCTGTGATAAAAATTCAGGTTTTGCTCTTGACCCTCTTCAATACTATAGCGGTGTAAACAAGTGCTAGCTCCTAGGCCGAGCCTGTGATTACACACCTGCCATCTCTCACCATTTCTCAAAACCACCCCCCCCACCCCTGTTTGTTGTGGAATGTGAGAGCCGCTGTCACACTGCCTCTCCCCGCATTGTTCACCAACTGGCCCACAGATTATTTTACACCAGTATCGGATGTCCACCAAGAAGCTGAATATCTGGCAATTACGGCCTTTCTAGTAAACAATTTAACCCTCGCTTCACTAATGACGAAATCCAAAGGCTTGTAGATCATTAAGGGGCAAAGAACCAAAAGAAACCCCCCACACTTAATAGCGTACAATGTTTAAAGTGGTTTCCTCTCTCTTTACTTTACAGTATTATTACTGAAGCTATAAGCTGTCCTACCTATAAAACCCAATCCCGTTACCCCCTCCCCCAACAAAATTTAAATCTAATGTATGAAAGATCTTTTAAATTGCATCTGCTGAACATACATTTTCCTATGGACATGTTACTGTATAGATTTGCAGCACTGGGGCCCTGCAATCAATATCCATCAGGTGCAGCATCTGAATGGAGTTTGTATGCTCCCTATGTGTTTCCCCTTACAGCTAAAATTTCATTTTGCATTCGAGGAAACAGGCCCTGTGAGGGTGTGAGAATATTAAGATTGTAAGCTCATTGCGGAACAAGGAACAAAGTGAATGATTGTATGTGGTCTCTAAAGCACTGCATTGACACACAGAAAGAGATTTACTAAAATTGGTGCACTCAGAATCTGGTGCAGCTGTGCATGGGAGCCAATCAGCTGATTTCAGCTTGCTCAATTGAGCTTTGGAAATAAAACTTGGAAGCCGATTGTTTTTTATGCACCAGATTTTGCACGCTCCAGTTTTAGTAAATGACCCCCATAATGTTAGAGAGCACCATCACTGCTTTATTTCATATACAGCCTTTGCTTTTTGCTTACTAATATTCCTCTCTGAAGATACAAGTCTACCAGTCACAGCTGACTGATTGAAAGCAATGTGCTCTCCACTTGGCTGAGATTTTATCTCAGCAATGGTCGATCAGGTTGCCTGAGACACGGGCATCCACTAGAGGGACAGTCATCAAATCTGTCTTGCAATAATGGAAAAGACAGAACACCAAGGGGTAGATTTACTAAAACTGGTGCACTCAGAATCTGGTAGCCAATCAGCTTCTAACTTCAGCTTTTTCAATTAGGCTTTGACAATAAAACCTGGAAGCTGATTGGTTTCTATGCAGAGCTGCACCAGATTTTGGACTTTTCAGCTTTAGTAAATAACCCCCCAAGTGTGTAAAACATGAAAGTTACTTAAAAAAAAAGGAAAAAAAAAAAAAAAAAAGGTAAACCTCATAAAAGGAAAAGTATGCGAAAATAGACCTTTAATTGCCTAAGTATTGGGATCCCTCCCGGTCACATGTTTATTTTCATATTCAATCATTAGATGTGGTATGGAATTTGGTTACTGAGAATAATAGCGCAGAAAACCAGCTGTTCAAGTGATTGGGGTTTTCTATAATGTCTCTGATTTTGCTGACCTTTGCCTTCCGGACATCTGAACATGCAAAACAAAGTTTCCATTTACCAATTTTTTCCCTGAAAATAATGAAAGTAATGCTGGAGGTGTGGCATGGGTGTGTCTTCTGCCCCAAAATTGAATCGCTTAAAGGTGCCTCTTCTTCCAATCTCATAAAAAGCCATTCCTATTTAACCTCTGGAACTATGGACATAGGTTTCTTTAGATTCTTTAATTAGATTATATTTCATTTTGTATTTTCTTTCCTAGTCAACAATGTTAATAAAACAGTTCCGCTGTTGGTTATTAGCAGTCTTCCTCCAAAGACTAATTTATTTATTAATGACCAGGGTGCCTCCACTTTGATGACTTGACATCACTGATGGTGCAGATCTAAAGACTATGGGGAGATACACGTGTGACGTGAGTTTTCAAAAACAGTCAACCCTTAAATTCGGGGGGAGGGGGGGGCTTAGCGTCTGTTTACAGGATTATACAGGTCATAAATAAAATTTGCTGAGATTGACAGGAAATATTACCAAACAGATGGCATCGGAAGTCCTACAAGTATCTGAATATTTAATATGAAGGCCAGGAACATTGGGGTTGAATTGATCTACCAAAGAGTAGATCATGTTCACTTTGCAAAGTGAACAAGATGAAGGTGTGCTGACTTCAATCGCGTGCAAGGAAAAAAAAATCCATTTTATTTATTTATTTCCCTTGCATGTGATTGGGTATTTTCACCTCATTCTCTAACCTAGGTGAAAATTCACTTTGCAAAATGAATGAGCTCTTATTACTTTTGTAAATCAACTGCATAGCATTTGTGATTAAAAAGGAAGTTGAGAAAGTGCAGCATTGTATTTGTCAACCAAACAGGAAGCAATATATAGGGAAAGAGTAACACTGCACCTGTTTAATAGGCAGCAATACGTAGGGAAAGAGTAGCATTGTATCTGTTTAATAAACGGCAGCAATATATAAAGAAAGAGTAACATTGTATCCGTTTACTAAACAGCAATAAGTAAGGAAAGAGTAGCATTGTATCTATTTAATAAACAGCAATATGTAATGAAAGAGTAACATTGTATCCGTTTACTAAACGGCAATAAGTAAGGAAAGAGTAGCATTGTATCTATTTAATAAATAGCAATATGTAATGAAAGAGTAACATTGTATCGGTTTACGAAACAGCAATAAGTAAGGAAAGAGTAGCATTGTATCTATTTAATAAACAGAAATATGTAATGAAAGAGTAGCATTGTAGCTATGTAATAAATAGCCATTTGTAATGAGAGAGTAGCATTGTATCTATTTAATAAATAGCAATATGTAATGAAAGAGTAACATTGTATCTGTTTACGAAACAGCAATAAGTAAGGAAAGAGTAGCATTATATCTATTTAATAAACAGCAATATGTATAGAGTAGCATTGTATCTATTTAATAAACAGAAATATGTAATGAAAGAGTAGAATTGTATCTGTTTAATAAATAGCAATATGTACGGAAAGAGCAACATAATATTAGTTTTAAAAGGAAAAATATGTAAGGAAACAGTAAAATTGTATCAGTTTAATAAATGACAATATGTAAGGAAAGAGTAACATTGTATCTGTAAAATAAATAGCAATATGTGGGAAAGAATAACCTTGTATCTGTTTAATAAGCAGCAGAATGTAGGGGAAGAGTAACAATGTATCTATTTAGTCTACAGAGCAATATGTAGGGAAAGATTAACATTAATGATATATATGATCTAATTCATCTTCAAAGTCCTTGTAGTCTACAAAGGTGCAATCTATCTCAGTGTCTATAGTGATTGGTGATGACAGCAAGTCTCATTCTTGTAGGACCAATACGAGCATTTATTCAAAGCACTACACTGAAATATAATAACCGCCTAATAAACATGAATTATTTCCAACAAAGCAACGTGCAGAGGTAGCGTGGAAGAATCTGCACAGGCACAACCTACAATATTTTCCACTCGACTGGGCCTGCTGCCAAATAAATATCAAATCATCTGTGGCCAGAGGTGTAGACCTTTTGTATACAGGTACGTCACATTAATGATGACATTACAGCAGATGGCCGAACCGACAACACTTTGTCCTGAATTAATTATCACATATAAAATCAACATCTGCCTTCCACGGACAAGCCATCATCTCCTAATCAATTTGTCACTAGATCAGAAACAATTAGATATTGTTGCTCAATGCCCTCTGACCTTTTCCCTGTCCTGCCACTCAACTAGTGTGATTTAATTAGTGAATATTACGAAAAACTCCTCCAAAAGGCACCTCGCTGGAAAAGGGCCAGCTCACAGGCTAGGTTTTGTGAACCTTTTCAGCTGCCAAGACTTTAAATATTAATAAGAAATGTAATAATAATACTAATCCCCTGAAGAAGAGAGGACTTGGAAGAGTCAAATACACAGAGGACTCCCAAATCCGGCAAAGTGTGCAACTCTAAAACGACTGTGTAAACATGGAAGTATTGTCCTACCATGGCTGGCCTTGTGAACTTGTTGTAAAAAGAGGTCTTCCACTGTGCCTTTAACATGCCAGATAATGAAAGTATATGAGTTCTTTAACCCTACAGCCACCAGAACTGCAAGAGCCTCTCCAGCCAACTTAGCCTTTCAAGTGGCTTGGAGATAAAGTATAAGAGCAGCTCAATGACACAGCTCTGCTAAGAGTGACAGGTGCCCACAGCATGCAAGGGGTTAAATTATTTTGCAAGGTTGGGGAGGAGGGACATTTATTTACACGATTAGAAAGATAGGACTGTGGATGTGGCAAGATGTGTGCTACTTACCCAGCAGCCAAGACTGGCGTGCCAGTTGCCAAGTTCTTGCAGTACAGATAATCCACAGGGTGGTAGAGTCTTTCTGTCACAGAGTACATCCATCCCAACTAAAACGGCATCGCCCGTGTACACGACAGCCTTCTTCCTCCCACTTCAGGTCAAGAAAAACTCTCAAACACTTCCACTGCTGACTTCTGCCCGTGTCCAGACTTCGCAAAACGCTCACGTTGATACTCGAAAGAAAGTGCACCGGCCTTGCATGGTTAACATTTGAAATAAGTCCCAGTGGCTCTAACTAGCTACATCCACCAGACCCAGCCATGGCCAAATGGGTGTCAAGGTGTCACAAGCTCATAAATCTTAACGGGAAACTGTGCACCATCACTAGGCTCTTACACAGGTAAGTACTTCTATCTGCAACTAAAACTGAAAAAAACAAAAGAAAAGAGCAACCACTCGGTCCAGCAATGCACATCCAGCAGAATATTATCTGTGACTGGCATCAGGTACAACCAATTTCTCAGGGTTTAAATAATAAAGGAGCAAAAAAAAAAAAAAAAAAAACCTGAGGAGTCACTGTCACTGTGTCAAGAAGTGACAAGATTTGTGTGGCCTGTTCAGCTCCTTTCCATCCCACCTTCACTCAGCGTTAAATATCAGTCTGGCTTTAAACAATGCAAAGGAGACCTTTTGTTAAACTGGACTCCCAGTGGCCAAACAGCGTCTCTAAGCCCCCTATCCCACACACGAATACCTCTCAACTGCAAATGTTTGCATGAGTGACTAGGCAAGGAGCTTCGCTACAACTGCTCGCAGCTTTACCTATCATGACACACTGCCTACACGTTAAGCCAAGGTCACCGACTGACGTAACCTTCAACTGCCTTTACGTGACAAGGTTTTTTTTTTTTTTTTTTTTTTTTTTTTAAAGGGGAGAAGGGGAAAAAAATATTAAGAGTTATAAAAAATAACCAAAAAAGCTTGGTGGTACCGTTGCTTGTCTTCTTATGCTTGGCCCATGGGCTCCAGGATGAGCCCAGGGAACAGCAGGACCCCTTTGAGAGCACCGCTGGCCACTGGAGAGTGCTGAATGACTTTGAGCAAGACAAATGTTAGAGACGGTTAACATTCCTTTCTCCTGGTGTGAAAAGCTTAGGGACCGCATTAACCGCAAAACAAAATTATGAACTGCATTCTGCACACTCCACCTCCTCACGTCCGTCTGGCCTCCGAGTGTCAGCTAGAAATCTTTAAGGCCCTTAATGCCAAAACAAAACCTAATGATTTCCCTTTACAAGGTGGCAACAAAAGTGATGAGGCTTCCGTTTGACAAGTAAAAAGCCCCAACAACAGAGCAGCTAATTGCCTTCCCTCCCTCTATTCAGAGCAGCCACCACACTCCAGTGACTGCCTTTTATAACACGTGCAATTTCTAAAGTAAACGAAAAAAAAGTACTGACTGGTGATGGACAGTTCCCAATCATTGGTAACAATAAGCCACAAACTGGGGGAAACCCAGACAGACAATCCCAATTGAGAATAGTTTCTGTGAGGCATCCCCAGAGGAGGCAACAACAGGAACAAAAAAAAAAAAAGGAAAAAAAACGAAAAGGAAAAAAAAAAAAAAAAAAACAATTGCACACAAAAACTTCTTAATGTTATGCTGCAAGCAGTAGGACAACGCTTGCTGCAGGACTAACTGACAGCAATGCATGCCGAAGCTGGGACCGATTCCCTTGGTTCAAGAAAAAAAGAAAAAAAAAATCAAAGAAACAACCGTACACTAGACAAGGATGACAATTAAAAGGAGCCTAAACATACCTGCAACAAAGGAACCATTTCTATGGAAAACAAGGACGAGGGCAAAAGATAAAACAGTTATGAAAATTATGACGCAACTGCCAATACAATAAGAAAAAGAAAAAAAAAGAAGCAGAAGAATGATGTTTCCGGCACCCACTTCTAAAATAACCAAAGCTAACAGATAGTTGGTCTACACATAAAAAAAAAAAAAAATAAAAAAATCTGCGGGTCAAATTAATAAAAAAAAAAAAAAAAAACAAAAATGAAAATAATAAATAAGTGTTCAGGTATGAGATTAGAGGATCGAGACATGCAAACAAATAAATGACATTTAAAGGCTAAAGTTTGGAAAAGCAAAAGGATGAGTCGAGCTTACCATTTACAAGTATTATTTAGCTGCTTCAATCTGCCTGCTTTGTAGCATGCTGCCGATTAGAGCATTCCACAAACCGACATGATGAGGGACTCAGAAAAAAAAAAAAAAAAAAAAAAAAAAAAAAAAAAAGGAGAGAATGGCTGCTCCTTCCACTGGAGGGCAGCACCCTTCTCTAAACCATTCAGCAGCAAGGCAGACCGGCCGGTAGAGCGTGCAGCTGATGCAGGCTTTCCTCAACAGATCCTCAGCTAAGATGCTCAAGTTCAGGCATTCAGAAAATTATCACGGTTGGTAGGGAAGAGTATAATTATTAAGATCATCTAAATTCAACGATGGTTCTCTAATAAAAGAGTCTTTTTTTTCCCCCCTGTTACTCTTCGCTTCCCCTAAACCCCCTCCTTCCCCACCTTCCCAATCCCCAGTTCAATGATAAGAACAAAAGGCAATATTTTGCTTCTCGACTTGGCAAATATAATAGACAAATCCCTTTTTCTCTGCAAAGTTCCTAGGCTAATGTAGGGGAAACAGGGTTTTCTCCTTGCAGAACTAACACCAAACAATTCAAAGAAAGGCGTCAAAAAAGAACAAAAACACAAAAATTCCAAGCGTTAAACATTTCCCACTTTTAAGGAAAGAGAACGGCGACCGGACCGTAAAGAAAAGCAAGAAAAATATCACTAAAAAGCCAAAAAAGGAAAAACTTGCAAAAATATCCCAAATAAATATACTCCTACTTTAGGGGCTTAGCAAAACGCCCGCAACGGCGACCTCTTAGGTGGGATTTCTCCGGGACCGGGAGCCCTGGTCCCGAGCAAATTCTCTCCCCCGGTTCCGAAGGACAAAATAAAGAAAAGGACTCACAGAAACTTAAGATTGTCTTCTGTAAAAGCGATGGGCATCCTTGCACAAACTAAACCGCCACTGCGCCATCAAGCAGAGGGGAAAAAAAAAAAAAAAAGAAATGACTATTGATCTTCAAATAGCGATAATTGAAAAGATCAAAAAGATTAAACAAAATCAAAAAAAATGTGCTGACTTACCATGCTATGCTTTTTTGTTGCAACTTTGTAGAAATTTCGCTCAAAGAAGCAGCATCGGATATGTCAAATTTTTTCGCGGGCTGTGATCGTATTATTTCCGCAGCCCTGCCTTCCAATGCCTCAGAACTTTTCCCCCTTCCTCTTTATTGTTTGTGGTACCTAGGTTTTTTTGCGAAAGACTTTAAAAGCCTTCAGCTCAGCAAACCAGCACAAATTATCTTGCCACCTTGCGCAGCTCTGATGCTTTTGGCCGCTAACTTTCGAAGGGCCTTTACTACTGCATCAAAATTAGCATTGTCAAAGCAGTTAATGAATATTAATATTGTATTTGTCATTGGAGCTAGTCCGTTGCTGAACTTCGAGTCATCCATCAGGGACAAGATTAAGAACACAATTATTTCTGACTGACAGGGACCAAATCTGCTAGATTTTTTTTTTTTTTTTTAACAATTCGAGGGGGGGGGGGGGGGGATACAATATCATCATCTTAAAGGTGTCTCCCAGGGGAGTGGGGAACAGATTAATATGCTTTTAATGAAGTAGAGATCGTTACGTGTGAAGTGCTATGGAATAAACTGGACCATTTTGTTATGGGTGCTTTTTCTTTGAATATTTCTTTTAAAAAAAAAAAATACATTTTTTCTAAAGAGTTTTATCCATGCTGTGCTTTTTTTTTTTTTTTTAAGTAGAATTTTTTTATGTTTGGAAGTGTTTGTCTTTTTTTATTATTAACAAAATCAATAGCAATATCTCTCTATGTCTGAAAAAAAAGCAAAAAATTATAGGAGTATATTGAAAAATCCCATCTGTGTTAATTTTAAATGTCCTCCATCTTTTTTCCCTTAGTGTAGATAAGAGGATACAGTAAATAATTCCCACGCAAATTTGACAAGAAACACCTTTATCAGCTCAAATTCTTTTCACTCATCTCCCAGTTCCCAAGTGGGGTTTATCAGACTTTCTTCTGGATGAAGTGCTACATTTAAAGAACTCTTAAAAAAAAAACAAAAAAAAACGTTATTTGGTTTTATTGTGACATCCCCTACTAACAAACCCATGACAAAACATGTCCATCCGTGTGGGTGGAGGGAAGTACAATAAGGGAAGTATATCGAAAAAAACAATTGAGAACGCAAGTTCATGATCTTAGATTGTTTTTTTTTTTTCTTTTAGTAAATAAACTGTGAGGTTGAAGAGCTTATCTGGCCACAATTTTCGTCAAAGCATAAAAGTTAAAAAAAAAAAAAAAAAAAAATCAACAGGGCGGAAAATGGAATGCCAGCAAAATGACTGTGGCAATGTCAACCTTTGTACAGGGAACGCTGCTCTTTCTAAGTTCTCTACTATCCCCATAATCTTGCCAACTGTAAAATATTTTATAAGTTATCTTTGAATTTTTTACATATATCCATCCATGTCAGAAAATAAGTATCGCCTAAGTAAAATAACAGATGTTTTCCTTAATCTTTCCCAGTGAATCGCCTCTGTAAGGCTTTATGTGGCTAATCTGCTTCTCCCACTGTCCACACCAATAGCCTCTAATACCATTAAGAACCCTTAGATGAACATTCTAAATTAGAGGTTTGTTACGAAAGGGTGTGAATTTGACCCCTGGTGAAAAAAAAAAAAAAAAAAAAAAAAATGGCAAAGAAAAATAATAAAATAAAACACAAAAAAACCCACCCTCCTTTCCTCCGCGAGTACAGATGGTTTTAAGGCGGTAGGGGCAAAAACACAAACAGAATTAAAAGCTTTACCATTATCTCTCCTTCTCAGCCTTTTCTATTGCAACAATTCCCATTTTAGACATTGGCAGCAAGAATTAAAAAGACAATAGGAATGGTTATGTTGAGAATTGTTTTTCTCGTACACCGTAAATCGCA